AGATATAGGACTTCCCGCTTAAGGTTTGATGTTTCGATAAGACACTTCCTTCAAAGCAATTTTGTTACTGAATTTGACTTAATGTATAGCGTAAAAAACAAATACTGGAGGATTCATTCACCCTCATGGAGAACCTGGCATTGAAGGTGAAGTGAATTTTTGGTGAAGAGAGAGAGAGAGAGAGAGAGACAGGAGGAGAACATGTGGGGAAGAAGGTGGCATCTGCGCACGTCACATGGGGGCATTGGCAAATACATTTGGAAACACAGAGGAAAGCCGGTGGAGACCAAAGAACGTCAGACTAAGAAACCGTGGCTTGTAGGCAAGGGCACTGAACTTCTATTTTTGCTCAAATAATTTTATAACTCCTGCACCTTTTGGTTTCCTTTAACTCAAATCAAGACTTTGGGTTGAAAGCTACATCGCTTTCAAATTAGATTCAACAGTGCTGTCTCGGTGAGCTTCGGTTGAGAACTATGGAAGGGCAGAGTAAAAAGAAAAATGTTGATTAATGGGGGGAAAACCATGATGCTAATAATAGCTGAATTTTCTTTTTCTCAAAATGCAGCGTCTCGGTGCTGAGTTTTCTACATGGCTTATCTCTTTTGACTTTTACAAGTGTGAATAATGGGAAAATGTGCTTGGCACTATTGATATCCCCATTTTACAGATAAAGAAACCAAGGTTCAGAAAGTTTTAGTCACTTGTCCAAGGTCACACAGCCAGTAGGCAACAGAGGCTGAGTTGAAACCTTAAGCTACTTGACTACAATGCTTATGTTTTAATTCCCTACTTTACACCCTGTAGGATTCTGGAAGTCTTGGTTCTTTAATTCCATTTCTACCGCTAAAAAGCAGGGGCAGGGTGGAGTTGCCATTAAGTGAAATGAGGAAGCCTGTGGATGACACAGGTAGGCATGCTGTTGCTTGTTGTTAGGTGTGAGAGAGGAGTTCAGTTTTGCTCATGTTGGGCGAACCTTCAAATGGAGATGTCGAAATTCAAGTCGCCATGTCAAGAGGCAGCTGGGTACGTAAGGCTCGACTTCGGGGGTGGATCTAGGCTGCAGACATGAATTTGGGACTTGTCAGCAGATAGCTGTATTTAAACCCTTAGGACCGGGGCTGTCTCTACGGAAGTAAGTGTAGTCAGAGAAGATGTCTAGGAATTGAAGACTGCGGAACTCCAAGCTTCCCCAATCTTTGAGGATAAGATCCAGCAAAGGAGATTAAAGAACTGCGGGCAGTGTGGGGGTGGTGAGGGACCAAGTGAGGAAGGGTGTCTGATGTGACTGGCGAGGGGGGTAGGACAGGACGGAGCCATCCCCGGTTTGGCGGCCACGGTGAGGGCCCCGGGGAGTTGCGACATCATGGCCACTTCGACGAGAACAGTTTTCGTGGAGGATAAAAGCGTTCAAGGGAGGAAAGGATAGGAGGAAGCAAAAACACGGAGTCTTTTTCTTAATATCTGTAGTCGGAATGAATTTGAGGATCGGTGTCACTTCTCACAACGTCCCTTTAAAAAAAATTACCTCTCTCACTAGATGATATGATCTTTGAAGGACTAGAATGTGATTTATCTTTAAAATGCTTTGCCAAGGTTGGTGTTTAAATAATAATTGGAGAACTTAGTTAAACTTTTAAAGAAAGGCATATTCTTGTTTAAATCTCCTGAATCTGCTTGGTAACAGGTTAAGCCCCTCCCCCTCCCCCAACTCAAAGTTGCTTCTGGAATTACTGGTTGACAACAGACATGTAGTGTTTGTTTGTTTTTTTTTAACGGATAAAGACAAAATTTTCATTATGTAACTTTTTTTTTTTTTTTTTTTTGCAATGAATCTCTTAAATGCCTATCTTATAGCTCTGGTCCAATTGTTGAGGGGCTAGAAAAATTAAAAAAAAAAAAAATCTCGTCCCTGCCAACATGTTGGTTTGTGTGAATCACAGCTCAGTGAAACCCTTCAGGCATATAATTTATCTTTTCTTTGGCCTATGTAGTAAATGCTTCATTTGTTCATGAATTCTGCCCTTGTTTTAATTATGCTATGCTCTGAATGTAGTTTTATGAGGCACAAAAATAAGATTGTCGTTCTGAAAACACAGAAGATTTGTGTGCTTCTCCCAGAATGAAATGGTGGCATCTTTCTCCCAATTCACAGCTCTGCAGGTTTGTGGTTGGAATTCCAATCCAGGAAGAAGCATGCAGTGAGACTGGGGGAAAGGGTTTGTGTGACATTGTGAGTGGGAGAGAAGGGGCAGCTGACACACGGCTGAGCCCAGCGCATAATCTATGCTAAGAATTCTGAATCAATACATTGACGGCCATTTCCGCATAATGCGGTACTCCCACCAAGAAAGCCATTGATGGAGAAGTTTTATTCATGTTATTTTCTGAGGACTGGATTCTCTCATTACACTCATGGAACAATTGATTTCTCCCCCTCCCCTGCCCAATACAGACCACGCAGGCAGGGATCGGATGAGGAACATCAATAATCAGAAGGCTGTTTTTGTTTAAAAGCTTTGCAGGTATATGTACTTGAATATCCACAAGTTCACAGACTAACGGAGACAATAAATGGCTACTTCCTGGCTTTTCCATGTTTTATATGCATATAGTACAGAGTGGGTACTCAATATTCAGATTCCAGTGATACTACCAATAAAAACATGGACATTTGTAGTGTAACAAATGCAAACTTCACTGGTGAATCTAAGGGAGCGGACTCACTTTTTCCAAAAGAAGGATAAGTTACAACTTGGGGGTCTTCTGAGAGGTCCCGGTAACTTTAAAATATCGCCCAAAGGCTTGACGATATCAGATACCTGCCATGCTCCCAACATAACCCCCCATCTTCTGAATCAAATCTCATTTTGGAAATCATTCCACTCAATTCAGGTGCCGGTCCTAAGAGTCTTTAATAAAAAAAGCTGGGTTGATAAAGTACAACTCTAAACTGTTCTGTGCTTTTCTTAGAATGGGAATGGATTGATTGCATTGGGGTTTTATGGTTAAAAACGTTCAAGGGTCAGGAATCAGATGCTAACCTGTTTTTCTTAATTAAGGTGGGGGATCTGGAGAAGTCACTAGACACCTGTCCCAAGATAGTAAAGCTCAGTCCTTCATCTTCTTCCTATGCATAAATAACTCCATCTTTTCCTGACTCGGGCAATGGGTTGGCTTTGGATGCCCAAGCGAATGGAACATGTAACTATTCACCAAGTCATAGCCTCCCAATGGCCTCAGGATCCCTGACCAATAATGAGAACTCAAGAGTTTCTGCTCAGAGTCAAGCAGTAAATAGTTTCTCCCATATTCATGAATATTGATGACTAGTTTCTAGCCCCAAGACAAGTAACTTTCCAGCTCCAGGTTTATACATTTGATGGAATGTTCCCCGAGCCAGTGAGGCCAATTCTCTTTGTGTCTGAGCATCTTCTGCAGCACTCGGCCTCCCCAGGGAGAGCACTTGGCACCTCGCACAAGGATCTCAGGGGTTTTGTACCTCTTCTCTTGTAGGATCACAAAGTCCCTGAGGACAAGGGCTCTGTCCTGGCCATCTCTGTAGCCCGTCTCACGTGTACCTGGCAGTGTCATACCCAGTAACGATATGATGCCTGGATGCATTTGAAGACCTACTTTGAATTATACGGAAAGCTATTCAGTTGGCCCTGAACTGGTACATTCGGGGAAATGGGCATTTGAAGGACAATTTTTTAAACTTTTGAAAGAAAATCTGAAAATCAGTTCTTGGAGAAGAAATTTACAGAAACAGCCAGAATGCTGATAGTAAGAGCCTGAACACACGAGCCTGATTATCTTTCCCCAGTTGTAACTGTCCAGAATGTTTAGCCGGTGCCTAACATTTAAAATATAATTCTTGACACCACGCTGGTGCATTGAAACCGCAGACTAACGTGATACTCAGTTTCTTTAAGGAGAATAATCGATGTACGGTGTTTAGAACAGAGCCTGCTATAATGTAAGTGCTCAATAAATGACAGCCAGTGTTATTAGCAACAGGGAATGCAATTAGTTGTTATTAAGACAACTATATTAACAGCCATGATATAGAACCCTGTAATGAAAAACAGCCCCTCTAATTTTTTCCTGCTTCTAACCTCAATGACTAACTGCATTCCCAAATTTTTGAAAAATACTGTTATTTAAAAGTCCAATGACTAAAAAAACAAGTACCTTAAAATACACCGTATCAACTCTTATTTCCTTTTTCATTCGAGGAGTTCCTTTCTCGGCCCAAATACAAACAAACTCTCTCAAGATAAAAAGCCAATGTTCTTTTTTAAGATCAAAAGAACCTGCCTTTCTTTGTGCGGGGGTGGGGTGGGGTGGGGGGGTGGAGCAGCTGATTCCAGATACCTCCTGAAAAAAATATCTAGTTTTTACAAAGATATTACTCCAGCTTGTTGGAAAATAATTAGTACATAAAAGAGTCTGCCCAGAGCTGTAAAAGCTCTTTATTTAAACCCACACTTTGGTGCAAAAGATAGTTAAAGATCAATCCAGGCTATTAAAAAGAAGAAATGAAATGTATTCCAACGAAAGCCTATAAACATACGGAATGGGGAACAACCTACTGAGACCAGACAGGGCAGTGAAGTCTTTTAGGGACCATTTTTATTCTGCTAACGCCTTCCCCTCCAGACTCCATTGATCATAAATGCAACCTGTCTTCCTCCATCTTTTGATAAATGGAAGGACGAATTCATCTGTATGTAACTCACCTCCTCTCTTCTTTTACATAAAGCAGATGTCACAGCTGTTATTGCTCTTCAAACAGATGTTTCCGCCCACAGAAACATGGGGGACACTCCCCTACAATGTGCTATTTGTTCTAGAGGGGTCGACAGCTTGATGCCTTGTCAGGGCCCCTTGGTGGCTGCCGAGCGATTTGGTGCCATGGTCTTAGCCCGTCGGAGCGCCCCCCCCCCCACACCCCGGGCTGGTGTTCACAAAATGGATTGCCCTTGTCCAGCACTTACCCTCTCTGCAGGGACATCGTCGGATGGCCTGGACAATCCGGAAACTTCCTGGGCCTGGTCTTGACGCTCTGCGCCCTTGGCTTCCCGGTGGCTGTTGACTGCTGCCTTTTCCCGTCCCTTGTCCAGTTTGAAGAGTTTGTCCAAAAAGCTGGAGTCCTTAGGCTTGGAGGGGGCCACTCCTCCCGACTCAGGTGAGACAGGCACTGGTCCCCAAGGGGCAGAGAAGCGTCCGTCCCCAGCCGGGCTCTGGCCTGGGGTTTTATGTGGGTCGTGGCCCAGCGCAGCTGCCACCGGAAGTGCCATGCTCTCACTTGGTTCTTTGTTCCCTAGAGTGTTGCTGGAGCTGACATCAAGCTTCACTGATCCAGTGGATGAATCCGTGGCTTGGTCTCCAGTACGTCCTGGTACAGGCCGAGAGAGTGTCAAGAAAAAACGAGATTTAGCAGCTGGTGCCTCGGGTTTGGCCTCTTTCCCAAGATTCTTTCCGTTGGCATCTGCAACAGCGCTGATCTCCATTGTCTTGGGGGAAGAAGTGGCCACATTATCCTCCTTGACACTTATTCCCAAGTCGACTGTAAACACAAACATAAACAGCGGTTATTCAACCCGGCGAGGAAATTCAAGGAAGGATAATGGACTCCAGACGTTTTATACACAGAGGCCATGATGAAGCGGGGGCTCTGTTGTTGTCCACTCGCTCTGTGAAGCAGAACTTGGTTATCTAGAACTCCTCTGACCCTGCTCTTCTGGGTGGGGGGGGGGGTTACGGAGGAGGATAGCCGGTTGGCGGAAGGCACATCCCAGGTGTCGTACTAGTGACTCGTATTACTTCTCCGGTGGTAGCTTTGGAGGCATCTCATGAGAAGCAAATTGTCGTGATTTCATCGGGGAGGCAGCACAGTGGTCAGGAGCTTGGGCTCTGGAGCTAGAACAAGGTTTCTCCACCTCGGGACTATTGACATTTGGGGCCGGATCATTCTTTGCTATGGGTGGTTAGCAGCGTCCCTGGCCTCAGCCCAGTAGATGCCAGTAGCCGCCGCCCCCCCCCACCGCCCAGTTGTGACAATCCAAAATGCCTCCAGACATTGCCGTATGTCCCCTGGGGCGGTGGGGGGGGGGCAAAAATCACTCACATATGAGAACCACTGAGCTAAATTGTCTCTTGGAATCTGAGTTACTTAACTGTCCTGTGCCTCAATTTTCTGGCAAAGTGAGGCAAATGGTAGAACTTACCTCCTAATGTTGTGATGCAGATTACATGACAGAACAGTGCCCGATGCATGTTAGTTGTTATCATTATCCACAAGTGAGTAAAGTGGCTGCCACAGGGGTTGGTCCAAGTCCCCACAGCTGCCTGGTGAGCCGCTAAGTCGCAGAGTCTGGTTATGGGCAGAGACCCGGCTCCGACATTTGTGCTCTGTCTTACTACCATCAGGCCTGTATTAGCCTGAGCTGGTGGAAGATTTTAAAAAGTAGTACTCAGAAAGTTTCCATGTTGAAGGCTGGAAGGGCAAGCGTCCACACAGGGCCACAAATTGGACCTCTGGCCAGCATGGAATCAGAGGCATAGGTTAGTGCCAGGACTGCATGTGGAAGTGGGCTCAGCCTCCTCCTCCGGCGGGGCGCGGGGGGGGGGGCACTGCTTCCAGCATCCTGCTGTTTCGGCTTTGACCTCAGCATGGGTCTCACTGAACTGCTTTCTTTCCTAGGTGCCTTTTATAAAGCAGTGCAATATTCAGGAAAAAAGGAGAGACCGTGAATTTTGGAATGAAAGTTAAAGAATCAAGATTCTCTGCTGATAAATTGTGTGACCTTGGTCAAATCACAAAAAAATCTTTGACCTTCCTCGTACGTAAGATGGGAATGGTATCAGCTCCCTTGCAGCATTACTGGGATGTTTAAGGGAAAAGACATATGCAACGACTCTGGCACACTGTCTTTTCTGTAGTAGATGCTTAAGAATTGACAGATACTATGATTTAAGGATTCTCCCACCCCTTTGCCAGCATTGTGTTTTGCTTTATACCGCTGTAGCCAGTCACTTTTATTTTCTTATTTTTATTTTTTAAAGATTTTGTTTATTTCTTTATTTGAGAGAGAGAGAGCAGAGAGAGTGAGCATGAGAGGTGGGGAGGGGCAGAGGGAGAGGGAGAAGCAGGCTCCCCGCTGAGCAGGGAGCCCGATGCGGGGCTTGATCCCAGGACCCTGGGATCATGACCTGAGCTGAAGGCAGACGCTTCCCTGACTGAGCCACCCAGGCGCCCTGCAGCCAGATCACTTTCACAATATGTTTGCAGGAAAAGAGAGAAAAGGACAAAAAGAGAAAGGGGAGAATCTTTTGCTCTGCTCATATTGCTCGTTAATATGTGTGAGAAACACACACACACAGGTACACACTTTTATTAGCAATTGTTTTTGCCCAACTCTGGTATCTCTCAGCGTCTAGAGTCAGGACCAAACAAAAAGGAGAGAGAGAACGGGAGAGCCGGATCTCTATGTAGAAGGCTCATTGCTGAGGAGCACGGAAGAGATGGTCCAGAGGCCAGTGACAAGCACTAGGCGTTCCTCACCATCTCAGATCCCAAGGACGTCACCCTGTAGGAGCACTGGGTATGTCCTCTAGCTCTTCTTCTCTAGCTTTTCCTGTGCTCTAGGAATTCATAATCGTGGTAAACACTGTACTCGGGGAGAGAAGGCGGGAGGGAGAGTGGGAATAAGGAAGTGATAGATGGAGGTGTCAGGGTGCCAAGTAAGCCAGGCAGGCAGCTGAAGCATCACAGTGAATATAAATGAATCGTGGCGATGGTCCATGCCAGGAGAAGAGGAAACAGTTGACAAAAAGGCAGAGACTGAGATTCAAAACAAGGAAGGGCTTTTCAAAATGCCGAGAGCATCAGCCAATCTCTTTCCCTTTTTCCTCTCTTCCTTACTCTCCAGCCAGGAACCGAAAGAGCTAGTGGTAAGTAAGAGTGTTACACTCAGAGAAAAAGTCTTCAGGAAAAAAAAAAAAATCTTCCCAAAGACAGACTTTTTAAAAATTGAGTTATATTAGTTTCAGGTGTACAATGTAGTAATAATCCGATCCTGGTACGCACTATGAAGTGATCACCACAGGTTACCATCTGTCACCATGCAATTGACCCCCTTCACCCAATTGAACCCCCTCTCAGCCCTCTTGATTCCTCTGATAACCACCGCTCTGTTCTCTGTATCTCCAAGTCTTGTTTTGTTTGTTCATTTGTTTTGTTTTTTACATTCCACATACACGTGAAATCATATGGCATTTTTCTCTGTCTGACTTATTTCACTTAGCATCATATCTTCAAGGTCTATTCACGTTTTTGCAAATGGCAAGATTTTCTTCTTTTTTTCTGGCCAAGTAGTATTCCCAACAACACCTGTTATTTCTTGTTGGTTTGCTTTTTTTTTTTTTCATAGTAGCCATTCTGACAGGTGTGAGGTGATATCTTAGTGTGGTTTTTATTTGAATTTCCCTAATAATTAGTGGTGTTGAACATGTTTTCATGTACCTGTTGGCCATCTGTGTGTCTTCCTTGGAAAATGTCTATTTAGATTCTCTGTCCATTTTTAAATCAGATTTTTTTTTTTTGCTATTGAGTTCTTTATGCATTTTGGATATGAATCCCTTATTGAATAAATGATTTACAAATATTTTCTTCTATTCAGTGGGTTGCTTTTTCATTGTGCTGATGACTTCCTTTGTTGTGCAGAAGCTTTTTAGTTTGATGTAGTCCCTAGACAGACTTGTTAAAAAGTGCCAATATATTGCTTTAATAAAGGATAAATTCTTTTCATCCAGGTATCTAGACTAGCCCTCAGTGCATTTAGAAATTACAGCAGATGCAAACTTTAGCTCTTGATATTAGAGAATGGGGAAAGTATTTTTGATAACTTGTAGGAACTAGGACTTCCTAGATGGGACATTCCATAAGAATGAAGGTCTGCCCCCCAAACTTGAGTGTATCACCCAGAGCTTCCATTTCCTTTACTAAAATGCTTATCTCCTCCTAAAATGATCTAAGCTAGACTAATCCTGTGGCTTTTGCTGAACCCATTAGAACAGAGTTACATTCTTTATGCTTGGATTGGCAAATCAGTGGGGGTACATCTGTAAGTGGTGGCCTTGGGTTTCACATTCACAAATGCCTGCCTCAGAACAAACTCAGATGAAAGCAGAGCCAAAAGATTCAAGGAACAAATGCCCAGTGATAGAATTTGAATACCTGGATCCAGCTATGCCTGAAGATGAAATTTACCATTACGTGGCCAACAGATTTTTTTTTTCACTCGTGCCAACTTAAATTAAGTACATACTCAGTGACTTGGAGAGAATTTCACGGAATTGGCCAGTACCATTTCACTTGTCAAGTAATAGCAAACAATCCTCTCCCTGGGAAGCTGTCTCTAAGCTCTTCAAGTCTGACCAGGAAGCAGTTAGTATGGGAGGGAGGAAGGTAAAGAGAATGAAACAGGAGGAAGTAAGTTACAAGGAGCTGGATAGAGACGCCACCAACCCTTTGTCTTCGCAGTAAAAGTGAAGGGAAAAAATCCACTTCAGGAAAGAAATTACCACTTTTGAGACCTCCGATAAACATTGGAAACAAAATATGTCCTAAAACATCGATTTAAGTGCACATGCATGCACGCACATGCACACACTGACACTCACACACATCCAATCTGTGAATGAATAGGAAGAAAACCCACTGGAGTTACAAGGTTTATACTCTTGCAAAGATGAGTATTGTTTACATGCCTTTCTCACATTATTATGGAAAGAATTAAAAAGTTCCTTCAGGACGATGGGAACCAAGCTTTCAATTCCTATAAGCAATCTTGAGAGAAGCTCATCTTGAATCTGGTTTCAATAAAAAGTTTTCTCATAAAGCAGACAAACAGATGACATACCAAAGAGATTTTACTTTCCATGAAAAAAAAATGTGTAAGAGTTTAAGGGAGATGAAAAGGAATCAAGTAAGAATGCAGATGACAGCCCTCAAATATCTAGAAGAGTTGAACATTTTGATCTTCTTAGTGCAGAAAATATATTTTGTATTATGTGCTTTTTAAAAGAAAGTCATTGTAGGCAGACATGGGATTGAGAACTTATTTCCAGTGGCATTTTGGTATCATTGTTAAGAACTTAGATTCTGGAGCCGAGGACCTCGGTTTGACTCTCAAATATGAAATACAGATGGTCCTCGGCTTACAGTGCGGGGACTTGGTTTTTCGGCTTTACAATGTGCAAAAGTGATACTCATTCAGGAGAAACTGTACTTGGGAGTTCTGAATTTGGATCTTTTCCTGGGTTAGCGATATGCAGGGCGACCCCCTCTGGTGATGCTGGGTAGTGGCAGGTCCCAGTCAACCAGGTGATCCTGAACCTGTACACTGACAACCCTTACAGCCAGTCTGTCTTTCCCTTTCAGTGCAATATTCAGTACATTTCATACACATGCCATACTCAACACTTTTTACCAAATAGGCTTTGTGTTAGATGATGTTACCCAACTATAGGCTAATGGAAGTGCTCTGACCATGTTTAAGGTAG